ACAGTAGTTAACCATATGCAATACAGTAGTTAACCATTATGCTATACACTAGTTTATGCAATACAGCAGTGAGTCATTATGCAAAAAAGTGGTTAATCATTATGGAATACAGTAGTTAATGATTATGCAATACAGTAGTTAACCATTATGGAATACAGTAGTTAACCATTATGCAATAGAGTAGTTAACCATTATGCAATACAGTAGTTAACCATTATCCTATACAGTAGTTAACCATTATGCAATACAGTAGTTAACCGTTATCCTATACATTAGTTAATCATTATGCAATACAGTAGTTAACCATTATCCTATACAATAGTTAATCATTATGCAATACAGTAGTTAACCATTATGGAATACACTAGTTAACCATTATGCAATACAGTAGTTAACCATTATCCTATACAGTAGTTAATCATTATGCAATACACTAGTTAACCATTATGCAATACAGTAGTTAAACATTATGCAATACAGTAGTTTACCATTATCCTATACAGTAGTTAATCATTATGCAATACAGTAGTTAACCATTATCCTATACAGTAGTTAAACATTATGCAATACAGTAGTTAACCATTATCCTATACAGTAGTTAATCATTATGCAATACAGTAGTTAACCATTATGCAATACAGTAGTTAAACATTATGCAATACAGTAGTTAATGATTATGCAATACAGTAGTTAAACATTATGCAATACAGTAGTTAATCATTATGCAATACAGTAGTTAATCATTATGCAATACAGCAGTTAACCATTATGCAATACAGTAGTTAATCATTATGCAATACAGTAGTTAACCATTATGCAATACCGTAGTTAATCATTATACAATACAGTAGTTAACCATTATGCAATACAGTAGTTAACCATTGTGCAATACAGTAGTTTATGCAATACAATAGTTAATCATTATGAAATGCAGTAGTTAATCATTATGACATACAGTAGTTAACCATTATGCAATACAGTAGTTAACCATTATGCAATACAGTAGTTAACCATTATGGGATACAAAAGTTAACAATTATGCAAAACAGTAGTTAACCATTATGCTATGCAGTAGTTAACCATTATGCAATACAGTAGTTAACCATTATGCAATACAGTAGTTAACCATTATGCAATACAGTAGTTAACCATTATGGAATACAAAAGTTAACAATTATGCAAAACAGTAGTTAACCATTATGCTATACAGTTGTTAACCATTATGCAATACAGTAGTTAATAATTATGCAATACAGTAGTTAACCATTATGCTATACAGTAGTTAACCATTATGCAATACAGTAGTTAATCATTATGCGATACAGTAATTAACCATATGCAATACAGTAGTTAACCATGATGCAATACAGTAGTTAACCATTATGTAATACAGTAGTTAACCATTATGCAATACAGTAGTTAACCATTATGCAATACAGTAGTTAACAATTATGCAACACAGTAGTTATCATTATGCTATACAGTAGTTAACCATTATGCTATACAGTAGTTAACCATTATGCAATACAGTAGTTAATAATTATGCAATACAGTAGTTAACCAATATGCAATACAGTAGTTAACCATTATGTAATACAATAGTTAACTATATGCAATACAGTAGTTAACCATTATGTAATACAGTAGTTAACCATTATGCAATACAGTAGTTAACCATTATGTAATACAGTAGTTAACCATTATGCAATACAGTACTTAACCATTATGCAATACAGTAGTTAACCATTATGCAATACAGTAGTTAACCATTATGTAATACAGTAGTTAGCCATTATGCAATACAGTAGTTAACCATTATGCAATACCGTAGTTAATAATTATGCAATACAGTAGTTAACCATTATGCAATACAGTAGTTTATGCAATACAGTAGTTAACCATTATGTAATACAGTAGTTAACCATTCTGCAATACAGTAGTTAACCATTATGCAATACAGTAGTTAACCATTATGCAATACAGTAGTTAATAATTATGCAATACAGTAGTTAACCATTATGCAATACAGTAGTTAACCATTATGCAATACAGTGGTTAACCATTATGCAATACAGTAGTTAATAATTATGTAATACAGTAGTTCACCATTATGCAATACAGTAGTTTATGCAATACAGTAGTTAACCATTATGTAATACAGTAGTTAACCATTATGGAATACAGTAGTTAACCATTATGCAATACAGTAGTTAACCATTATGCAATACAGTAGTTAACCATTATGTAATACAGTAGTTAATCATTATGCAATACAGTAGTTAACCATTATGCAATACAGTAGTTAACCATTATGCAATACAGTAGCTAACCATTATGTAATACAGTAGTTAACCATTATGCAATACAGTGGTTAACCATTATGCAATACAGTAGTTAACCATTATGCAATACAGTAGTTAACAATTATGCAACACAGTAGTTATCATTATGCTATACAGTAGTTAACCATTATGCTATACAGTAGTTAACCATTATGCAATACAGTAGTTAATAATTATGCAATACAGTAGTTAACCAATATGCAATACAGTAGTTAACCATTATGTAATACAATAGTTAACCATTATGCAATACAGTAGTTAACCATTATGCAATACAGTAGTTAACCATTATGCAATACAGTAGTTAACCATTATGTAATACAGTAGTTAGCCATTATGCAATACAGTGGTTAACCATTATGCAATACCGTAGTTAATAATTATGCAATACAGTAGTTAACCATTATGCAATACAGTAGTTTATGCAATACAGTAGTTAACCATTATGTAATACAGTAGTTAACCATTCTGCAATACAGTAGTTAACCATTATGCAATACAGTAGTTAACCATTATGCAATACAGTAGTTAATAATTATGCAATACAGTAGTTAACCATTATGCAATACAGTAGTTAACCATTATGCAATACAGTGGTTAACCATTATGCAATACAGTAGTTAATAATTATGCAATACGGTAGTTCACCATTATGCAATACAGTAGTTTATGCAATACAGTAGTTAACCATTATGTAATACAGTAGTTAACCATGATGGAATACAGTAGTTAACCATTATGCAATACAGTAGTTAACCATTATGCAATACAGTAGTTAACCATTATGTAATACAGTAGTTAACCATTATGCAATACAGTAGTTAACAATTATGCAACACAGTAGTTATCATTATGCTATACAGTAGTTAACCATTATGCTATACAGTAGTTAACCATTATGCAATACAGTAGTTAATAATTATGCAATACAGTAGTTAACCAATATGCAATACAGTAGTTAACCATTATGTAATACAATAGTTAACCATTATGCAATACAGTAGTTAACCATTATGCAATACAGTAGTTAACCATTATGCAATACAGTAGTTAACCATTATGTAATACAGTAGTTAGCCATTATGCAATACAGTGGTTAACCATTATGCAATACCGTAGTTAATAATTATGCAATACAGTAGTTAACCATTATGCAATACAGTAGTTTATGCAATACAGTAGTTAACCATTATGTAATACAGTAGTTAACCATTCTGCAATACAGTAGTTAACCATTATGCAATACAGTAGTTAACCATTATGCAATACAGTAGTTAATAATTATGCAATACAGTAGTTAACCATTATGCAATACAGTAGTTAACCATTATGCAATACAGTGGTTAACCATTATGCAATACAGTAGTTAATAATTATGCAATACGGTAGTTCACCATAATGCAATACAGTAGTTTATGCAATACAGTAGTTAACCATTATGTAATACAGTAGTTAACCATGATGGAATACAGTAGTTAACCATTATGCAATACAGTAGTTAACCATTATGTAATACAGTAGTTAACCATTATGCAATACAGTAGTTAACCATTATGCAATACAGTAGTTAACCATTATGCAATACAGTAGCTAACCATTATGTAATACAGTAGTAAACCATTATGCAATACAGTGGTTAACCATTATGCAATACCGTAGTTAATCATTATGCAATACAGTAGTTAACCATTATGCTATACAGTAGTTAACCATTATGCAATATATTAGTTAACCATTATGCAATACAGTAGTTAACCATTATGCAATACAGTAGTTAACCATTATGTAAGACAGTAGTTAACCATTATGCAATACAGTGGTTAACCATTATGCAATACCGTAGTTAATCATTATGCAATACAGTAGTTAACCATTATGCTATACAGTGGTTAACCATTATGCAATACCGTAGTTAATCATTATGCAATACAGTAGTTAATCATTATGCAATACAGTAGTTAACCATTATGCAATACAGTAGCTAACCATTATGCAATACAGTAGTTAATCATAATGCAATTTAGTTGGGCAGAAGGACTCTGTTAAATGTGCCTTTACAAAGGGAAAAAATAAGCTGAATACACCTGTTGAACAGACCGCCTCCGTCGTCTAGTGGTAGAGCGTCACCCACTACTCTCTAAGGAACACTGTTTCACCCACTACTCTCTATGGAACACTGTTTCACCCACTACTTTCTATGGAACACTGTTTCACCCACTACTTTCTGTGGAACACTGTTTCACCCACTACTCTCTAAGGAACACTGTTTCACCCACTACTCTCTATGGAACACTGTTTCACCCACTACTTTCTATGGAACACTGTTTCACCCACTACTCTCTATGGAACACTGTTTCACCCACTACTTTCTATGGAACACTGTTTCACCCACTACTTTCTGTGGAACACTGTTTCACCCACTACTCTCTAAGGAACACTGTTTCACCCACTACTCTCTATGGAACACTGTTTCACCAACTACTTTCTATGGAACACTGTTTCACCCACTACTTTCTATGGAACACTGTTTCAACAGCTGACACGGGAAGAAACTTGGCACTGGGGAAACCAACAAGTGCCAGTTCAACCTACAAGTCCAAGGTTGATTTACATACATCAAGTGTTGTTGACGGGTCAACTTCAGGATATTTTTATGACATGTCGTGTCACAGCACCGGCAGTCGTGACATGGCGCCCTGGTGGCAGGTGGACCTGCAAGCTGTCTTCAGAATATCTAGAGTTAGAATTGTTCGTCGTACAGATTGCTGTGGTAAGTGTTCAGATTATTTGCTGCAATATTAAAGTTTTAGGCCCGACCATGTAATAATCTGAGATGGGGCTGGACTGTCTGTTTGAGACAGAACTCTTATACGCTTCTAGTCAGATATGACCGCCACCGTGGTCTAGTGGTAGAGCGTCCGCCCGGAGAGCGGAAGGTCCGGGGCTCGATCCCCGACCGCGCCATAAGACGTTAAAAGATGGTACTTGTTGTTACCCTGTCTGGCGCTCGGCATTAAGGGGCTAAAACAAGAACTGGTCGGCTCGGAGTCAGTATACTGTGTCTGAGTGAGGTATTTATGTTAAACTGCGGCATGGTACCTCATTGAGCTAGCACTATAAATCGGCATCAGTCCGGACTAGTACAAGCAGCCACACAAACACATACACGTACATGCAGGTCGCTATATAAGTGCAATAATCTTGGACGCGACGTTAAACCTCATTTCACCTCACCTCTAGTAAGATATACTGAGTCAAATTAAAAACTTCACATTTTTAAAAGTAATCCCATATATGATATACAACGGACAAATGTTTCAGAGAAGGCAATCATTAATGTCCAAAGAAGGATTAAATCAGTTTAAATCATAGGTCCCAAGCACGAGAATCTGATGGCACACAAGTTCAGTAGCGTGTATGGCCACCATGTGCGTTGACAACTGCCACACAACGCCTCCGCATGGACCTTGTGATGCTCGTGAAAACATGATTGGGAAGACGATGCCATTGTTGCTGCAAAATCGTGCCAAGATCTTGCAAATTCTGTGGTTGGTTCTGGAGAGTGCGCAGACTTCTGCCAAGAGCATCCCAGACGTCTTCGATGGGATTGAGATCGGGAGACCTTGACGGCCAGTCCATGACGTTGACTCCCGCAGGAAATTCCTTGTCAAAATTGTTGTGTGGGGTCTGGCATTGTCGTGTTGGAATTGAAACGGGGCCAAGTGCAGCCATAAATAGCAGAAGTTCTGGTGCCAGTACCTGGTCGCGGTAAGCAGCAGCGTTGAGGTTGCCACGGATGACAAGAAGCCTGGAACGTGCATTGCCACAGAAAGCTACCCACACCATGACACTTCCTTCTCGAAATCTCAAAAATTCCTGTACACAACACTGGGCGTAAGGTTCGCCTCCACACCCTCGCCCTACCATCAGCAAATCGAAGATTAAATCGGGATTCATCACTGAAGACGACTTGATTCCAATTCCTCCATCGTAAGTCCATCGTAAGTGTCGCTCTGCCCACAATTGACGTTGACGTCTGTGTAATTGAGTCGGAATCGGTCCGCAGTATGGCCGTCGTGCTTGAAGGTGAGCAGTTCTCAGACGGTTTCGAACAGTTTGCGCACTCAGTCTACCCCTAAAGAGTTCATTTCTGGTTGATGTAGCCGTCAAAAATCGGTTACGGAGGTGACGTAAGACAATCTGACGATCCTCTGCATGTGACGTCACACGTGGTCGACCTGGCCGAGGGCGATCAGCGGTGGTACCCGTTTGCTGTAGACGCGTCTGTAAATCTTAAACAGTCCGTCGACTACAACCCATCGTCCTTGCGACTTCAGCTACGGACGTTCCCGTCTGCAACATGCCGATGGCACGTTCACGTTGCACATTTGAAAGGCGTGACATGACATATGGCGGTAAAGACTTTTGTTTTCTTGTGTTTTTCTTTTTTTGTTAATGACTGCTAACAAGTATGGCTGAATCATGTGCAGTATTATGGCCACGTGACCAGTTGCACGTGAAAAAACACTTTTGACACTTTAGTGCTGTGCACATGTATTTGATCGATTCACCTGCACAAAAACGGGTGTTATCTGAAGACAATACGTGGCCATTACTGTTTAAATACACAATTAGAGCCCACAATGATAACTGGTCAAAATGTTAAAATTCTAGGATTGTGAAGTGTTTAATTTGGTTCAGTATATATACGTTTCCTTCTTTGACCGAAGGAGCCAAACAATGCTTCTGGAACCAGCAGAAATATATGTTGGTGGCCGTGTTCCTGTGTAAGTGGTGGTGTTCCTGTGTTGGTGGTTGTGTTCCTGTGTTGGTGGTTGTGTTCCTGTGTTGGTGGCCGTGTTCCTGTGTAAGTGGTGGTGTTCCTGTGTTGGTGGTTGTGTTCCTGTGTTGGTGGTTGTGTTCCTGTGTTGGTGGCCGTGTTCCTGTGTTGGTGGTTGTGTTTCCGTGTTGGTGGTCGTGTTCCTGTGTTGGTGGTTGTGTTCCTGTGTTGGTGGTTGTGTTCTTGTGTTGGTGGTTGTGTTCTTGTGTTGGTGGTGGTGTTCCTGTGTTGGTGGCCGTGTTCCTGTGTTGGTGGTGGTGTTCCTGTGTTGGTGGTGGTGTTCCTGTGTTGGTGGTCGTGTTCCCGTGTTGGTGGTCGTGTTCCTGTGTTTGTGGCCGTGTTCCCGTGATGGTGGTCGTGTTCCTGTGTTGGTGGCCGTGTTCCTGTGTTGGTGGTCGTGTTCCTTTGTTGGTGGTTGTGTTCCTGTGTTGGTGGTCGTGTTCCTTTGTTGGTGGTTGTGTTCCCGTGTTGGTGGCCGTGTTCCTGTGTTTGGTGGCCGTGTTCCTGTGTTGGTGGTTGTGTTCCTGTGTTGGTGGTTGTGTTCCTGTGTTGGTTGTCGTGTTCCTGTGTTGGTGGTTGTGTTTCCGTGTTGGTGGTTGTGTTCCCGTGTTGGTGGCCGTGTTCCTGAGTTGGTGGTTGTGTTTCCGTGTTGGTGGTCGTGTTCCTGTGTTGGTGGTTGTGTTCCTGTGTTGGTGGTTGTGTTCTTGTGTTGGTGGTTGTGTTCTTGTGTTGGTGGTGGTGTTCCTGTGTTGGTGGCCGTGTTCCTGTGTTGGTGGTCGTGTTCCTGTGTTGGTGGTTGTGTTTCCGTGTTGGTGGTTGTGTTCCCGTGTTGGTGGCCGTGTTCCTGAGTTGGTGGTTGTGTTTCCGTGTTGGTGGTTGTGTTCCTGTGTTGGTGGTTGTGTTCTTGTGTTGGTGGTTGTGTTCTTGTGTTGGTGGTGGTGTTCCTGTGTTGGTGGCCGTGTTCCTGTGTTGGTGGTCGTGTTCCTGTGTTGGTGGTGGTGTTCCTGTGTTTGTGGCCGTGTTCCCGTGTTGGTGGCCGTGTTCTTGTGTTGGTGGTTGTGTTCCTGTGTTGGTGGTTGTGTTCCTGTGTTGGTGGTTGTGTTCCCGTGTTGGTGGCCGTGTTCCCGTGTTGATAGTCGTGTTCCCGTGTTGGTGGTCGTGTTCCCGTGTTTTTGGTCGTGTTCCTGTGTTGGTAGTCGTGTTCCTGTGTTGGTGGTCGTGTTCCTGTGTTGGTGGTCGTGTTCCTGTGTTGGTGGTCGTGTTCCTGTGCTTTTGTTCGTGTTCCTTTTGTTGGTGGATGTATGTATCCTTCGGTGGGTGTATGACTTTTGCTACGAGAACAGCGTTTTATTGCCAAACACCATTTCGATACCAGGAGTGAGTGAGTATAGTTTTACGCCGCTTTAAGCAATATTCCAGCAATATCACGGCGGGAGACACAGAAATGGGTTTCCATGTCGGAAATTGAACCCGAGTCTTCGGCGTGACGAGCGAACGCTTTAACCACTAGGCTACCCCACAACCCCTCGATACCAAGACATAGGGGCACTCGGACACACAGCCCGACAAAGCCTGACATGCCCTGCATCGGTTCCTGTGCACCCGGGGTGGTCGGGTAGCCAAGTGGTTAAAGCGTTCGCTCGTCACGCCGAAGACCCGGGTTCGATTCCAAACATGTGTACATTGTGTGAAGCCCATTTCTGGTGTCCCCCGCTGTGATGTTGTTGGAATATTGCTAAAAGCGGCGTAAAACCATACTCACTCACTCACTCACTCACTGTGCACCCATCCACTCATCACATGTAGAAGAGACACGTTTCTGTACGGTACAGCCAGGAGACTGCACGACCTCGCCATCGATGTGTACGCTGAGGACCCTGCCGTCACAGGGAGCGCCCCGCCCACGTTGTGTCACTACTACAAGGGCGTCTACAGGCCAACAGGTCAAGACACCGTGTGTGACTCTGTGGTTGCTGGGAGGTTTGTGAGGCTGTCAAGGAAGAAGACCCGACCCGGTGTAGACATCTTTACCTTGTGCGAGGTTTCCATCTACGAACCAGACAAGTATAGTAAGTAGATTGGAAACAGACAGATTGAAATATATTTATGTCAGGCATGTCTTTTGTTTGCTCTTCAACGCTAAATATTTAGGAATGTTCCACCCATATGACCACAGCCTGTTTGTTTGTTTGTTTGTTTGTTTGATCTTCAATGCCGCACTCAGCAATAGTCCAGCTATATGACGGCGTTCTGTATATAATCGAGTCTGGACCAGACAATCCAGTGATTGACATCATGAGCATCGATCTACGCAATTGGGATCGATGACAGGCATCGATTAAATGAGCTAGCCTGACCACCCGATCCCGTTAGTCGCCTCTTACGACAAGCATAGTCGCCTTTTATGGCAAGCATGGGTTGCTGAAGACCTATTCTAGCCCGGATCTTCACGGGTCCCGCAGCCTGTAAATATTCGAGTGTGGACCAGACGATGTGATTGGTATCGTGAACAACGCTCCACGTCGTCGGGGTACGACGACACGCAATCAGCCAAGTCACCTTATCTGACCATTCAGTTCCACAGGTTGTGCCCTCCACTTGAGCCCTTTCGTTGTGCTTGTGTGTGCGTATGTGTGCGTGAGTCTGTGCGAACCTGTTTGCCTGTGTGCCTGTGTGTGTGCCTGTGTGGGGTGGAGTGGATATTGATGCGTACGTGTGATGGGCGTTGGTGAGTGAGTGAGTGAGTTGGGTTTAACGCCGCTTTTAACAGTATTCCAGTTATATCGCGGCGTCAGCTTAATGTGGGAGGAGAGCCCGAAGTGATGCAGGTCTCAGACGTTTACCACTTCGGTGAAACCCACGAGCACGGGTGTGGTGCTGACAAACCTAGAAACATAATCGGGGCGAACCGGGATTCGAACCAACAATCATAGGTTGCTGGTGTGCCCAAGGGACGCAACTCTGCACAGCGAATCGCGGCGCCTTAGACGACGGGTGGCCCAGTCGCTGTGCACCAGAAACCTATGATTGTGAGTTCGAACCCGGTTCGACCCGATTATGTTTCTAGGTTTGTCAGCACCATACCCGTGCTCGTGGGTTTCACCGAAGTGGTAAACGTCTGAGACCTGCATCACTTCGGGCTTTCCTGATCACCCGGCGCCGTTAATCGCCTCTCACGACAAGCATAGTCGCCGCTTGAGACAAGCATCGGTTTCTGACGACCAAATCTAACCTGATATCTAACATGATTATATCTTATTATCAACAGCTGCTCAATTCCAAAAGAAAGGTCTGTCGCTGTCTGACGTCACTGTGGTAGCATCACCCCTCCAGATGCTGGGCTGTGCTGTCGCCTGTGTGACCGACCCTCTCTGCATAGCGGTCAAGATGACCAGACATGAGACGCGCGCATGTCAGCTTATTTACAAGCGTGTGGACCGTGACATGATAACACACAATACAGAAAAACAAGGACTTACACTTTCCAATTGCCTTGTCCCGACTATGACTGGCGACACGGGTGGTCCAATAATCTAATGCATTGCGATTAACCCGTGATGTATTGCCCGCCCAAGTAGATCCCAGTCATTTCTCGCCATGATTTGATTATATACTACTCGAAAGAAGTTAAGGATCACCTGATTCTTTCATATTACAATAGTTAATCTCTCATGCCTTACAGGTTAACATTACCAATACGAAAGAATCGGGTGATCCTTAACTTCTTTTGAGTAGTATATATGGGGACCATGCTGGTGGTTTTCACAAAGGGTCAACGTCCTCCATCACTCCAGGTGATACTGACTCCGAGCCGACCAGTCCTTGTTTTAGCCCCTTAATGCAACAAGAACCATCTTTTGGTATGACGCGGCCGGGGATCGAACCCCGGACCTTCCGCTCTCCGGGCGGACGCTCTACCACTAGACCACGGAGGCGGTCGCATCACTCAAGGCTTTCCACTTACAGTATGCTTATATGTCATGATACAACTGAAAAACTACCGAAACCAACGTGAAACCAACGTGAAACCAACGTGAAACCAACGTGAAACCAACGTGAACCCAACGTGAAACCAACCTCATTTACTCACTGCCGTGCAACTAGTGGCATACACATGTTTAACCAACGACAAGGTCAACGATCTGGTGTTTATCGTCAATGTCATCCTGCACCAGACACTCCAATAGAATAAAACAACAAACCTTTTCCAGAATCATAATCAATCTCACTATAAAGCTAAAAACACCCACCCCCCCTCTCAAAAAAAAAAAACACAAAAAAAAACAACTGTTGTAAAAACTTGGTGTCTATTCGTGACAAGGTTCCCTTTGGACCATCCCCTTGTATTTACATTGCTGTTGTACATTAAATGTTTTATCTCCTTCTTTGACCGCGTTCCTGGTACTATATTGCAGTGTATTCGTTTAACAATTATTGTAACTGTAAGAGGAGAATTAATGGATGTCAACTTCTTTCTTATGAGGAACACAGCGCTTCGGAGTATCTGCTTACTCCTTCATCCATTCATCTGATGAAGGAGTAAGCATGTTCCCCGAATCGTTGTGTTCCTCATAATAAAGAAGTTGAAATCCATAAATTCTCTTCCTTATGTGTATCACTTCTAAATGCCTTTCAAAGACCTGATTGTTACTGTGTTACATTGTTTTGGGTGAGATTCGGTAGGCGCTCATTGTATCGTGTTTGGGCAGTGACCAGTTGTCAGGAAGTTACTATATTTAGATGCTGCTGTGGTATGTAAACTTCCGGTTCGGTATAACGCGGATGGTGATAGTATGGTGCCTATATGAGAACTTTAAAGTGGCTGGGTATGCTGTACATAAGGGGACAGTGGCCGGTTTGCGTATCTCTCATGCATTTTCATGACATCGAAACCAGCTTTCATGTGAGGATCACTCATCATTGCTGAATCCCTGTCTAGCCCAACTCGGAAACTTGACAACTGTCGCCGCTGGGTGAATGTATAATATTATCACAGAGGCTTTTGCTATCACTACTGTATTTTCGTATTTGATACTGACCACTGCTATCATATTACATAGTACTGTCATTGAATACTGTACTACTACTCTATTGTGTACTGTCATTGTAATTGCAATGCAGTAATTTGTTTAGATTTGTAAACTTAGTAAAACTGTGTAATACATTTGTTGATTGTATACCACTTGTTGATTGTTTGTTGGTTTCACACTGTTTGTTTTTACATACATATTGGCTAACATACCGTTTCAATTTGGGATCGACACGTAACACTGATAGCCAAAAGGAAAAAAACAAAGGCAATTGTAACGTGACTATATCGATCTAAACCGAAACGTCAACAGTATTCCAGTCATATCACGGCGTGTCAGCTTAATGTGGGAGGAAAGCCCGAAGTGATGCAGGTCTCAGACGTTTACCACTTCAGTGAAACCCACAAGCACGGGTATGGTGCTGACAAACCTAGAAACATAATCGGGGCGAACCGGGATTCGAACCCACAATAATAGGTTTATGGCGTGCCCAAGGGACGCAACTCTGCACAGCGAATCGCGGCGCCTTAGGCGATTGGTCCGGGAACTTGACATTCGTTGACACAGAGACCAACGCATTTGTACTAGACTTCTATTTGTAATCACGGTTGAACTTGAACGTGCAAATTGTCTAAGTACAGACACAAACGGCATGTTATTTGAGGAAACCGTCGTCACTCAGTTCCGGTCACGGCTACTCTGGTTTTCGAGGAACCGCCTGGCAAATGCTACCATCCTTGCCAGGAGAACAAGATAGTAGCCCGAGTATGTCGAAATTCAAGCAGGTGCGACAAATATCTCATTCTTCAGGCGGCAGAACTGTTGAGCGATCGAAAATTATCGTGCACCCCGCCGAACACAGAACAGTTTCTAACGTTTCGCAAAGATGATCAAAATATACCGCAAGACATATGTACAGAAATACGTTCGTCATCATATTCCGTTTAACGAAGACCCGCGGACAGAAACAGAAAGTCCTTGTCCGAACTAGGTCACAAGGTCAACTAGTCACTTCGATCAACGGCATAATAAAATAAATAAATACATAAAAATGAAATAAATTAAACTGATATTGCAATGACACCCTCCACACCGCAACCATTATACTCATACAATGGGACCTCCGCAGTCTGGTGAACAGAAGTGAGTGCATATGATTTTACGACGCTTTCAGCAATATTCCAGTAATATCACGGCGAGGGACACCAGAAATAGGCTTCACACATTGTACCCATGTTGGGAATCGATCCCGGGTCTTCGGCGTGACGAGCGAACGCTTTAACCACTAGGCTCCCCCATCGCCCCTTGGTCGATAGAATGAATGTCTGTGTTCCATTCTCGGCCTCGTCATGAGACGTTAAAATATGGTACTTATTGTTTCCCTTCCTGGCGCTCGGGGTCGGTCGGGTAGCCTAGTGGTTAAGGCGTTCGCTCGTCACGCCGAAGACCCGGGTTCGATTCCCAACATGGGTACAATGTATGAAGCCCATTTGTGGTGTTCCCCGCCGTGATATTGCTGGAAAATTGCTAAAAGCGGCGTAAAACCATACTCACTCACTCACTCCTGGTGCTCGGCATTAAGGGGCTAAAACAAGGACGGGTCGGCTCGGAGTCAGTATACTGTGTCTGAGTGGGCTAACACTATAAAACCATCGAACGAGTACAAGCACACACCCAGACACATCCGCTTGCACGACCATCCCAATATAAATGCAGTAATCTTGAATGCGACGCTAAACCCCATTTCACCATCTTCATCTTCAGCTCACCCCGGAATCACTCACTCAGCCTTAACGGTGAGGGGGCACGGGTGGCCCAGTCGTCTAAGGCGCCGCGATTCGCTGTGCAGAGTTGCGTCCCTTGGGCACGCCAGAAACCTATGATTGTGGGTTCGAATCCCGGTTCGCCCCGATTATGTTTCTAGGTTTGTCAGCACCATACCCGTGCTCGTGGGTTTCACCGAAGTGGTAAACGTCTATGACCTGCATGACTTCGGGCTTTCCTCCCACATTAAGCTGACACGCCGTGATATAACTGGAATACTGTTGAAAGCGGCGTTAAACCCAACTCACTCACTCACTCTTTAAAGTGCCAGGGTAGCAGTAGGCTAAGAATAGGCGAAGAGTAGGCATGGTTCAGAGACGGTGATACCGGTCACTATGTGAAACGTCCTTGGAGGACTGAGACTGGTAGGGAGACCCGAACCAATCCCATCAAATAAAATCAATTCTTCAAAAAAACAGCCTCATCACCTGAAAAATACTGTATATCGTCAGTTTTTCGAATTAATTCAGTTAATAATTTGTGCGGTAAGGTTTAAATGACAAGACATTGGTCTTGAACATATTCACTACGGTAGTGATCCGGGGTAGAATAGGGCTTCAGCAACCCATGCTTGCCGTAAAAGGCGACTATGCTTGTCGTAAGAGGCGACTAACGGGATCGGGTGGTCAGGCTCGCTGACTTGGCTGATGCATGTCATGTATCCCAATTGCGTGGATCGATGCTCATGATATCAATCACTGGATTGTCTGGTCCAGGCTCGATTATGTACAGACCGCCGTCATAAAGCTGGAATATTGCTGAGTGCGGCGTAAAACAACAAACCAACCAACTACGGTAAATGTCAATTTACGTTGCAGCAGGTTAATGCATGCGCACGTGTTGCACGTGCTGAAACAGACTTTTTGAGGCAGCATAACATTGATGAAATGCCATGAGCGAATTTTTCTCCAGATCTCTCCCCAATAGAACATGAGTGGGATGAAACATAACGACGCCTACGACAGGACCAGAACCAAAGAGACAGTCTTTGGTTGACATTTGGAACAACATCTCCCAGGCTGTTTTCAATTATCTGGTTTATTCACCTCACCTCACCTGTATCAACGCAATGCAAATGAGGGTCACACACAGTATTGATGTTGTTAATTGAATTGTTAGACAACCCCTCTTTTAGGCCGTGTCCCTTTGTCTTCTGTTACCAGGTGGGGTTTTGTCAATGAATTTGTTGATCAGACGAATGACCAAATATTATTGTGTTATTTTCAATAACCTAACATTATACCACTGTAGACCGCCTCCGTGGTCTAGTGGTAGAGCGTCCGCCCGGAGAGCGGAAGGTCCGGGGTTCGATCCCCGACCGCGTCATACCAAAAGACGTTAAAAGATGGTACTTGTTGTTACCCTGTCTGGCGCTCGGCATGAACGGGCTAAAACAAGGACTGGTCGGCTCGGAGTCAGTATACTGTGTCTGAGTGGGGTATTCATGTTAAACTGCGGCATGGTATCTCAGTGAGCTAGCACTATAAATCGGCATCAGTCCGGACTAGTACAAGCAGCCACACAAACACACACACGTACATGCACGTCGCTATATAAGTGCAATAATCTTGGATGCGACGTTAAACCCCCATTTCACCTCACCTCATATACCACTGTATATGAGTCACATTTACCCTTCTCCGTCAGTATGTTTATAATAACTCTTGATGTATAGATAGATAGGTAGTTTGTTCAGCAATGAAGTAAATTCTGCAGATTGGGTGAAATTACAGGTATAGGGATGGGTGTTTAGTGTTTATAGCAGTCTTTGTTGTGGTCTTTTTTTTTTCTTTTTGTTGTTTAACGTCTCACTCAGCAATATTCAAGCTATAAATGTTCTGTAAATCGAATCTGCTGGGGTCCATGCAGGTAGCAAAGGTACTGTAAGTCCATATGGTCCCCAGTATGGTGGCCTACCTTTGGATGCTGGTGACATATAGCACACTTTTACATTGTACTGTTATGAATAGTCAAGTTTTATGGTCATTTACTAGTTTTCAACCTATATCTGTGATAATCTAGTTCTTTTACTGTCCTTTGTTGACAGGCTTTTATTCTAAATTTATATATTGTATTATTTTTTGTGTGTTATTATATGGCTGAAATATTGCCGATGTGACTCTAAATATTAACTCACTCCCTCACTGTAGACGACTCAAGGTTCATCACCGGCACACTCCGAGGCTCAAACCCACGATCAGCGCATTTCAGCGCATGTCAGAGCATGTCAGAGCATGTCAGCGCATGTCATAGCATGTCAGAGCATGTCAGCGCATGTCAGAGCATGTCAGAGCATGTCAGCGCATGTCAGAGCATCTCAGCGCATGTCAGCGCATGTCAGAGCATGTCAGAGCATGTCAGCGCATGTCAGAGCATGTCAGAGCATGTCAGCGCATGTCAGCGCATGTCAGAGCATGTCAGAGCATGTCAGCGCATGTCAGAGCATCTCAGCGCATGTCAGCGCATGTCAGAGCATGTCAGCGCCTAAAGAACTCGAGGGGGCACGGGTGGCCCAGTCGTCTAGGACGCCGCGATTTGCTGTGCAGAGTCGCATCCCTTGGTCGAAACAGAAACCTATGATTGTGGGTTCGAATCCCGGTTAGCCCCGATTATGTTTCTAGGTTTGTCAGCACCATACCCGTGCTCATGGGTTTCACCGAAGTGGTAAACGTCTTAGACCTGCATCACTTCGGGCTTTCCTCCCGCATTAAGCTGACACGCCGTGATGGAATAATTTTAAAAGCGGCGTTAAACCCAACTCACTCACTCACTAAAGAACACGACAACGTCCAGGATGTTTAAATATGCAAAACCTCTAGTCATGTGTGATATAACCATCTGCCATGAAAAACCCGAGTGAAGATCCGGGTTCAGATCCCCAGCAACCCATGCTTGCCGTAAAAAGCAATTTTGCTTATGGTAAGAGTCGACTAACGGGATCGGGTGATCAGGCTTGCTGACCTGCTTGATTCATATCATCGTATCCCAATTGCCTAGATCAATACTCGTGATGTCAATCACTAGATTGTCTAGTCCAGGCTCTATTACTTACAGACCGCCGTCATATAGCTGGAATATTGCTGAGTGCGGCGTAAAACAACAAACCAAACCAAACCAAACATGTATTTTGTATTTTATACACCTGCACCTGCAAAACTTTGAGATACAAGATCTTATGTTTGCGGCGTTAAACAACAAACAAATAAAGAATGGACAATCATGCTGCAACGTCGAATGAATCATCAATTTTGATAAAGACAACTCTGACGAAAAGACGTGGTCGAATTGCGTTGTTTTTTACTGCAGGTGCCCGTGGGCATTATTGGCACAGCATTGCTTAGATTGCCGGACACCGGAGATTATTTCGTAGATACACTAAACATTAGTTTCTTAGAAACAAGCAGCCAAAGGCGCAGATTATTTTACCAGATAAACCTGACGTGAGAGGTGTACTGACATACATAGCCCCGTACCTGCTAGCGATTTCTCACAGTACTGACTTGAGCTGAAAGAGGGACTACCGTCTATACTGTAGACGAAAAAGCAAGTGACGGGTTAAAGGTAGGAAGAATACTGGGCAATTGCATAGTTAGATTTTTTAATGCGTCGATTATTATATTTCCTTCAAACACGTTCGTTTTGCTGGAATAAATAAGCGCGTCGAATAATATATTTCCTTCAAACACCTTGGTTTTGCTGGAACAAATAAGCGAACGTGTAAAACAGACATGGCATGTTTTCAGAATATCGTGACAGTTTATGCAGGAATGTTTGAGAATATATCTGAGAATATATCCCAGTGGGTTGATAGCCATGCACAGTCTTTTGATTTTCTGTTGTGTCGTTTTGTGTATCCGAGAAAGAACAACAATATTAATACAAGAAAAATGTAATTACAAGGACACGAGTGGGTGGTTCACATGGATTTATAGAGGTGAACCTGTTGAATGTGTTCATCACCGTGGGTTGATGTGCTTTCCCATGGGTGGTTGGTCCACATGGATTAATAGAGTAGGTGAACCTGTTGAATGTGTTCATCACCGTGGGTTGATGTGCTTTCCCATGGGTGGTTGGTCCACATGGATTAATAGAGTAGGTGAACCTCTTGAATGTGTTCATCACCGTGGCTTGATGTGCTTTCCCATGGTTGGGTGGTCCACACAGGTTAATAGAGTAGGAGAACCTGTTGAATGTCTTCATCACCGTGGGTTGATGTGCTTCCCCGTGGGTGGGTGGTCCACATGGATTAATAGAGTAGGAGAACCTGTTGAATGTCTTCATCACCCTGGGTTGATGTGCTTTCCCATGGGTGGGTGGTCCACATGTATTAATTGAGTAGGAGAACCTGTTGAATGTGTTCATCACCGTGGGTTGATGTGCTTTCCCATGGGTGGGTGGTCCACATGGATTAATAGAGTAGGTGAACTTGTTGAATGTGTTCATCACCGTGGGTTGATGTGCTTTCCCATGGGTGGGTGGTCCACATGTATTAATTGAGTAGGAGAACCTGTTGAATGTGTTCATCACCGTGGGTTGATGTGCTTTCCCATGGGTGGGTGGTCCACATGTATTAATTGAGTAGGAGAACCTGTTGAATGTGTTCATCACCCTGGGTTGATGTGCTTCCCCGTGGGTGGGTGGTCCACATGGATTAATAGAATAGGAGAACCTGTTGAATGTCTTCATCACCCTGGGTTGATGTGCTTTCCCATGGGTGGGTGGTCCACATGTATTAATTGAGTAGGAGAACCTGTTGAATGTGTTCATCACCGTGGGTTGATGTGCTTTCCCATGGGTGGGTGGTCCACATGGATTAATAGAGTAGGTGAACTTGTTGAATGTGTTCATCACCGTGGGTTGATGTGCTTTCCCATGGGTGGGTGGTCCACATGTATTAATTGAGTAGGAGAACCTGTTGAATGTGTTCATCACCGTGGGTTGATGTGCTTTCCCATGGGTGGGTGGTCCACATGTATTAATTGAGTAGGAGAACCTGTTGAATGTGTTCATCACCCTGGGTTGATGTGCTTCCCCGTGGGTGGGTGGTCCACATGGATTAAAAGAGTAGGAGAACTTGTTGAATGTGTTCATCACCGTGGGTTGATGTGCTTTCCCATGGGTGGGTGGTCCACATGGATTAATAGAGTAGGTGAACTTGTTGAATGTGTTCATCACCCTGGGTTGATGTGCTTCCCCGTGGGTGGGTGGTTTACATGGATTAATAGAGTAGGTGAACTTGTTGAATGTGTTCATCACCGTGGGTTGATGTGCTTTCCCATGGGTGGGTTGTCCACATGGGCCCGGGAGAAATAGAGAAGGTGAACCTGTTGAATGTCTTCATCACCTAGGGTGAATGTGCTTCCCCATGGGTGGATGGTCCCCCCCCCCCCTTCCCACCCTTCTGTTTCACTCACCATATTCAAAACACTGCTATTTGGCCATGACGTTTAGCTAAAGCTTCAGATATAAAGATGGTCTGATATTGTTCAATAATGGTAAAATATTAAATTATACAGCCGGAATTGTAAACTGGAGATTTTTTTTAATATGAAAATGATTTTGTTGCTTTGGGGAACGGAAGGATATGTAGGATCGCTTTCAAAGTTGGCGTCCCACAGTCGTACCAATGCTGCTGCATGAAGTAGGTTCGAATATCTGATCAACGCGATGATGACACTTGCTATTTCGCCAAAATGCGACGTGGTGCAGAGTTGTGTCCCTTTCACTAACCAGAATCCTATGATCGTGGGATCGAGTCCACGTTTCACACTGATTAAAATTGATGGATTGTCAGGACCATATGCGTTCTTGGGGCGTGCCATTCAATAGTAGACCCTTATGCTTCTACCATGTCAGAGTGGGCCCTCAACCACCTATGCTGGTTGCTGAAGGCGACTGAATCGGCCCGGCGGTTATCTACCAAAACGTTTACGTGCCAAAACTTCTCTTTCTACACATAGTTAAATGATAGGATAAGTTAAAACATAGTTAAAATAACAACCCAAGAGGATTAATTAGGATGTGGTGTCTCCTTGGGCAAGTGACAAAATGTGCGTCTGTTCACCCAGCAGTGAGTGGGTACCCGGTGGGATGAGATATCAATGTTTGTTAATCTTCTAGCGCCTCACAGGCAGCTTGGGTTGTATACTCCCCAGTGAGAAGAGAATGATCCAGTGACCCGGGTAATAATAGCTCTTTAATCATGACTCTGAGTGGTGTGCAACTATGCGCAATATATAAATAGCCTATTATTATTATCATCATCATCATCATCATCATCATCGTTGTTATTATTATTATTATTATTATTATTATCATTGTAACTACAACATCTAAGGGCTTACATATGTACATGTAAGTCAGAGAAGTATATATAGAGAAAATAAGTTGGAGAAGGGTATAAATGAAAAATAAATTTGAGAAAGGTATAGAATGATACATGGAGAACTAACGTGGAGAAGAGTAGAAAATGTTTTTTTGAAATAAAAGAGGATTACAAGTACAGGTATAAAATCTACAACATTCTTATTGTTATTTCTTTTGGGCTATTCCATTCCACTAATAGGTTATATGCAGTCAGCACTACGTTGACTGGGCCATGATCATTGCTGTTTTAGTCTGTCACAGATATGGCATGTAGCAGTTTTGGCATGTAGCAGCCTTGGCATGTAGCAATTTTGGCATATAGATGACAGTGTGACCTGGTGACGCGAATAATTGTTACCAATATCAAACACTGGTGTGTTACTTGAGTATTCACAGGAATCGTTGTTACCAATATCAAACAACGGCGTGATACTTGAGTATTCACAGGAATCGTTGTTACCAATAACAAACACCGGTGTGTTACTTGAGTATTCACATGAATCGTTCTTACCAATATCAAACACTGGTGTGTTACTTCAGTATTCACAGGAATCGTTGTTACCAATATCAAACACCGGCGTGTTACTTGAGTATTCAAAGGAATCGTTCTTACCAATATCAAACACCGGCGTGTTACTTGAGTATTCACAGGAATCGTTGTTATAAATATCAAACACCGGTGTGTTACTTGAGTATTCACAGGAATCGTTGTTACCAATATCAAACACCGGCGTGTTACTTGAGTATTCACAGGAATCGTTCTTACCAATATCAAACACTGGTGTGTTACTTGAGTATTCACAGGAATCGTTGTTATAAATATCAAACACCGGCGTGTTACTTGAGTATTCACAGGAATCGTTCTTACCAATATCAAACACCGGCGTGTTACTTCAGTATTCACAGGAATCGTTGTTACCAATATCAAACACCGGTGTGTTACTTGAGTATTCACAGGAATCGTTGTTACCAATATCAAACACCGGTGTGTTACTTGAGTATTCACAGGAATCGTTGTTACCAATATCAAACACCGGTGTGTTACTTCAGTATTCACAGGAATCGTTGTTATAAATATCAAACACTGGCGTGTTACTTGAGTATTCACAGGAATCGTTGTTACCAATATCAAACACCGGTGTGTTACTTGAGTATTCACAGGAATCGTTGTTACCAATATCAAACACCAGCGTGTTACTTGAGTATTCACAGGAATCGTTGTTACCAATATCAAACACCGGTGTGTTACTTGAGTATTCACAGGAATCGTTGTTATAAGTATCAAACACTGGTGTGTTACTTGAGTATTCACAGGAATCGTTGTTACCAATATCAAACACCGGTGTGTTACTTGAGTATTCACAGGAATCGTTGTTACCAATATCAAACACCAGTGTATTACTTGAGTATTCTCAGGAATCGTTGTTATAAATATCAAACACTGGTGTGTTACTTCAGTATTCACAGGAATCGTTGTTACCAATATCAAACACCGGTGTGTTACTTGAGTATTCACAGGAATCGTTGTTACCAATATCAAACACCGGTGTGTTACTTGAGTATTCACAGGAATCTATGTTACCAATATCAAACACTGGTGTGTTACTTCAGTATTCACAGGAATCGTTGTTACCAATATCAAACACCGGTGTGTTACTTCAGTATTCACAGGAATCGTTGTTACCAATATCAAACACTGGTGTGTTACTTCAGTATTCACAGGAATCGTTGTTACCAATATGAAACACCGGTGTGTTACTTGAGTATTCACAGGAATCGTTGTTACCAATATCAAACACTGGTGTGTTACTTGAGTATTCACAGGAATCGTTGTTACCAATATCAAACACCGTTGTGTTACTTCAGTATTCACAGGAATCGTTGTTATCAATATCAAACACTGGTGTGTTACTTCAGTATTCACAGGAATCGTTGTTACCAATATCAAACACTGGTGTGTTACTTGAGTATTCACAGGAATCGTTGTTATAAATATCAAACACTGGCGTGTTACTTGAGTATTCACAGGAATCGTTGTTACCAATATCAAACACTGGCGTGTTACTTGAGTATTCACAGGAATCGTTGTTACCAATATCAAACACCGGCGTGTTACTTAAGTATTCACAAGAATCGTTGTTACCAATATCAAACACCGGTGTGTTACTTGAGTATTCACAGGAATCGTTGTTACCAATATCAAACACCGGTGTGTTACTTGAGTATTCACAGGAATCGTTGTTACCAATATCAATCACCGGTGTGTTACTTGAGTATTCACAGGAATCGTTGTTACCAATATCAAATACCGGTGTGTTACTTGAGTATTCACAGGCGCCGTCATAGATGGAAAAAAGCTTAGTGCAGCGATATACAGGTAACGACGAAAACAAACTCCATTATTGTTGGTAACCTGCGTCACTTCAGGCTCTTCTTCCGACATTTAGCGCCCTCTGCGTAAAATAACGCACTCATTTTTGCTTGCAGAATACGCCATGGATTTCGTGTGGTATTTAACGCCTCTCCTGCTCCTGTCCCCGACTGTCACAGATGCCAGTAAGTATTTAAGTTTTGTCTTTAACATACCGGGGGCACGGGTGGCCCAGTCGTCTAAGGCGCCGCGATTCGCTGTGCAGAGTTGCGTCCCATGGGCACGCCAGAAATCTATGATTGTGGGTTCGAATCCCGGTTCGCCCCGATTATGTTTCTAGGTTTGTCAGCACCATACCCGTGCTCGTGGGTTTCACCAAAGTGGTAAACGTCTGAGACCTGCATCACTTCGGGCTTTCCTCCCACATTAAGCTGACACGCCGTGATATAACTCGAATACTGTTAAAAGCGGCGTTAAACCCAACTCACTCACTCACTCTTTAACATACCAGTGGACGAAAGTATTAAAGGCAAGAATAATGAAAAAGTGGTTTTTCGATATTGTTGGGGATATCAATTTTCGAATTTTATTCATTTCCGAGAGAGAAAAAAACCATAACATTCTCACAAAGTATTTAGATGTACAAATGAAAGAGCTGAAGCACACGCTCCGTAATCGGCTTCCAAAACAAACCTGTTTTCCGCGTTTATCTAAACTGACGGCCAAAAGAAACGCTACCAACGATGTTTCAAGGATAAAATATGACCAACACAATTTGAAGCAGCAATAACAATTGTATTGTAGAAATTCATCATTCAGAACAGTAAAATGCGAATTTACTAATTCAACAACAAAGTCCTTGATCCCCAACAGGGACATTTCTTGACAAGGGGTCATTCGTCCAGTATTCGATCAACAACATTGGTTACAACTTTAAGGTGACGACGGCCCAGATCGTTCAATACGGATATGACCTCCATGAGCGGCAATGAATCTTCGAATGCGGCGTCGAACTGAGTAGACATGCGTCCTCACATCGACTGCAGGTATCCGATTCCATTCCTCACGGAGGGCAACGATCAACGCTTGTCTCGTGAAGGGAGGATGTTGACGTTTCCGAAGACGACGCCCCAGCTGGTCCCAGAGATGTTCTACGGGTGACAGATCTGGTGATGGAGCTGGCCACGGCAGGACAGTGACGTTGTTGGCGTTGAGGAAGTCTCTAGTAATACGGGCTTTATGGGGTGTGGCGTTATCTTGTTGGAACACCGTCCGTTGTTGACGCTGGATGAAAGGAAGAACCACTGGCCGTAAGATATTGTCAATGTAGCGTTGTGCTGTCAGATTGCCTTCGATGCTGACAAGTTCTCGTCCCCGCAAATGCCGCCCCAGACCATTCACCACGTCGTCGATAACTCGCGTCCGCCTATCAGGTTTGAAGAGTTGGAACCTGCTCTCGTCACTAAACAGCACTCGCCGCCATTCCCTTTGTTGCCATCGCTGAGTTTGCCTGCACCACGTCAATCTGGCACGTCGATGTTGACGGGTCAAGGTCATGCCCTTGAAAGGGCGATAAGCCCGGAGACCATAATGTCGTAGTCGTCTGGTCACTGTTTGTCTGCTGACCGGATGTCCTAAGCTGTTGGCAGCTGATGACGTCACAGTAAGAAATCTGTTCCTCAGATAAAGTACCCGTAAAAAGCGTTCATCCTGCGGGGTCGTGATGGTCTGCCACTCCGTGGTCTGTCTGCGGTTCTGCCAGTCTGTCGGAGACGTGCGACCAGTCTGGTAATGGTCATCTTGGAGCAGTTCATGTTAATGGCAACCTCTCTCTGTGTCGCTCCCATCTGCTGCATACCTATGGCTTTCTCCCTCTGGACAGCGGTCAGTCTTGGCATGTTCGTTGGTGTTAATCATCGCAACCATTGATAGGGAACAGATCCGTGCGTAATTTATACCCGGACATTGCACGATAATTTTGGAAAGAATGTTTTAAAAAATTGCTGAAAAACACCAATATCTCCCAAAATCCGCAAAGCACGTTCAAAGAACGACAGAGAACATGAAGGCTGTATTCGTGAAATGTGTTCTTTACTGTTTTTGAACAGGTTGGCATCTTTGTTTCAAAGTGGCAAATCAGTTAATGTTGGTAACGTTTCTTTTGGCCCTCAGTTTGTCTTGTGATTTTTAGCCGGTATTCATATACTGTTTCCGCTATTTCTGTCTATCCTTTAAAACTAACAACATTGCATACATTTTTTAATGTGACAAACGACCTTTGATCGTGACATGGTAAATAATAAAAAAATTAATTAATAATCGGACACTATCGTTTTATTAATAACATCCTGTTTGAGGAATAACACACCGGTTGGCCTCGAACCTATCCCTATGATTTTACGCCGCTTTTAGCAATATTCCAGCAATATCACGGCGGGGGACACCAGAAATGGGCTTCACACATTGTTCCCATGTCGGGAATCGAACCCGGGTCTTCGGCGTGACGAGCGAACGCTTTTACCACTTGGCTACCCGACCGCCCCCCTTTGGACTAACTGGGATTAAAGTTAATGCTTATATAAAACAAAACAAATTTTCTAAAGGAAAAAATTAATAACTTTGTTTTTAGCAACACACTCTTTGAGGACATCTAGCATACTAGGAATAATATACTGAGTCAAATTAAAAACTTCACATTAATCTCAAAGTAATCACATATATGATATACAACGGACAAATGTATCAGAGAAGGTAATTTTTAATCATTAATGTCCAAAGAAGGATTTTAATTAACGGTGGTAACCATAATTTGTTCCAAGCACCTACGGTATTCGGTAATAAAATCAACAGTTTAAATCATAAGTCCCAAGCTCGAGAATCTTTTGTTAATGACTGCTAACAATTATGGATGAAAACACGTGCGGTATTATGACCACGTGACCAGTTGCACGTGAAAAACCACTTTTGCCACTATAGTGCTGTGTACATGATTTTGATCGATTCACCTGCACACAAACGGCTGTTATCTGAAGACAATACGTGGCCATTACTGTTCAAATACACAATAAGGGCCAACAATGATAACTGGTCAAAATGTTAAAATTTTAGGATTGTGAAGTTTTTAATTTGGTTCAGTATATATTGAGTTGGGGGTTGGCAAAACAAGATGATGTTTTTTCCTTTATTCTCTCAAACATTTGCTTTTAATTTCAACCCCAACAGTCTCACTCACTCCTAGCTATGCCATTTGTTTTCAGTGTGTATTACAAGCTGCGCAGGTAGATCAACCAACGACGGCATGCGCTACCCCGACTGCGACCACTGCGACTACTATATCCGGTGTGAGGCAAGCGGGATGGAGAGAAAAAGATGTCCACTGACTCTCACCTTCAATGCCGATGCTAGAAACTGCGACTACCCAGCGAATGCTAAGTGTGGGTAAGCTTATGTGAAAAACAATGTTGTTTCCTGCCGCAACAAGGGCGGTCGGGTAGCCTAGTGGTTACAGCGTTCGCTCGTCACGCCGAAGACCCGGGTTTGATTCCCGACATGAGTACAATGTGTGAAGCCCATTTCTGGTGCCCCGTCGTGATATTGTTGGAATATTGCTAAAAGCGGCGTAAAACCCCACTCACTCACTCATCCCGCAACAAGCAATCTGCTAGCTATGTGACGGCTGATCAGTGTGTCCAGGCTTGGCTAGGAAATTCAGCCGTCGTTGTCATAAGCAAACGATCAACTCCTGAGAGGTAGATTGACACACGATCAGATTAACCTAGGGTTCCTTGAATTTGAGTGAGTATGGTTTTACGCTGCTTTAATTAATATTCCATCAATATCACGATGGACACCAGAAATGGGCTTCCCACATTGTACCCATGTTGGGAATCGAACCCGGGTCTTCGGCGTGAGGAGCGAACGCTTTAACCACTAGGCTACCTCGCCACCCTGAGATTTGAAAACAAATGCTTATTCAGGATGAAAACAAATCAGGTACGTTTATGGACATTGCACACAGGTTAACGATGTTATCGATCTTCTATTAACGCAACTACTTAATTCTCAAGGGCAACATCAGCGACAACATCAGCAACAACAACGTCACCTACCACAACGTCACCAACAACAACGTCACCTACCACAACGTCACCAACAACAACGTCACCTACCACAACGTCACCTACCACAACATCAGCAACATTAACAGCGGAAGCAGCTCCAGGTGATTTGTTACAGATAATATAAGGAGACTGATATTTCTGATGCATATATTATGACAATGCAATTTGTTTCTAAAATATTGCGATACTTTGCACCCAGTTTTCAGTGCCGTTAGACCTCACTGTATGGGGCGACTGGTCCAAACCTCATTCAAACATCAACGTAAACGTTTGTTTTCTGTTAAGAGACGGGGGCACGGGTGGCCCAGTCGTCTAAGGCACCGCAATTCGCTGTGCAGAGTTGCGTCCCTTGGGCACGCCAGAAACCTATGATTGTGGGTTCGAATCCCGGTTCGCCCCGATTATGTTTCTAGGTTTGTCAGCACCATACCCGTGCTCGTGGGTTTCACCGAAGTGGTAAACGTCTGAGACCTGCATCACTTCGGGCTTTCCTCCCACATTAAGCTGACACGCCGTACTATAACTGGAATAATGTTAAAAGCGGCGTTAAACACAACTCACTCACTTACTCACTGATCTCGGTTAGAATTGGTCCCGGTAATCTCTGTTGGTAGTACGTGGCGATACTTTCTCATTACAGTAAACTACGGTTATAACGAACACGCTTATAACGAACTGACGGATATAACGAACTGACTGTTTTGGTCCCGACTTTTTGCTGTAGTTATGTTGTATATATGCTTATAAAGAACTACGGTTATAACGAACTACGGTTATAACGAACTAAAATTAGTGGTCCCTTTGAAATGGTTATAACCGTAGTTTACTGTATATATATCAATCACTTGACTGTCAGAACCAATTATTTACAGGCCGCCGTCGCATAGCTGGAATATTGCAGGATGTAGCAAATCAAATACAAAAATGTCCTCTGTGAAAATATAACTTTGTGTTGGATCTTAGTGCGATTCGGGGCGAGTAGTTCCACAGTGATTCCCTGATCAGTGTGTGTCTTGGAGTCAAACAGGCCAATGACTTATACCAGACAATCTTCATATCTGTTTTCTGGGTTACAGGGGCGGTCGGGTAGCCTAGTGGTTAAAGCGTTCGCTCGTCACGCTGAAGACTCGGGTTCGATTCCCGACATGGGTACAATGTGTGAAGCCGTGATATTGCTGGAATATTACTAAAAGCGGCGTAAAACCATACTCACTCACTTTCGGTTACAGAATGCAGGAACAACTGTAATGGCGTGGTCGGAATTCGCATGTTTGCTGACTGTAGATTCTGTCGAGACTTTCGGACCTGCATTGGTACCATCGAAATTGTCCACACCTGTAGCAGTGGCCTTGCGTTCAGTCACGTGACCGGAAACTGCCTTCATGTAGACCAAGTGAATTGTGGGTGAGTCACGTTTAAACAGGTTTTTGGTCGGTCCGCGTGCGAAAGGGTCATGACGTGACGTGAAGGTTTAAAGAACGAACAAGATCAGAGTCAAGGGTATTTGTTGAACCTCAACATCTACTTGACAAAATTAACATAGTGGCCAATGTAACAGGTAACAACATCTAGGAAAATAGTGGGTTCGAATCCCAGATGAATCTTTGTTACCTGTCAGGGACAGGTTGCCCGGTGAGACCCGTGAAGATTCCGGGGTAGAATAGGTCTTCAGCAACCCATGCTTGCCGTAAAAGGTGACTATGCTTGTCGTAAAAGGCGACTAACGGGATCGGGTGGTCAGGCTCGCTGACTTGGTTGATGCATGTCATCGATCCCAATTGCGTGGATCGATGCTCATGATATCAATCACTGGATTGTCTGGTCCAGACTCGATTATTTTAAAGACCGCCGTCATATAGCTGGAATATTGCTGAGTGCGGCGTTAAACAACAAACCAACAACAACAAACGGAACGGTGAATGCACAGTCTTCTGGTGTCCGGCATATAGCTTGGGTTGTGTTCCCCACATAGAAAGGGATGCCAACCTATCTGTTGACATAGGTCAAACGTCTTGATCATGTGCTGGTTTGTGGAATCTATTGCATAAATACTACTTAAACAATAATCTTTATTATTATCCTCTCCCAGAAAGAAACGCAGAACCGTTTGAAGTACTTGACGGGCATTTAGAAGTTGTGAGAAGCCATCCATGAACACAGACAATGCTATCTACCTACCCAGTGTTCGCTCCACTGTGCTAAAACCACATCAGACGCGTGAAGATCCGGGGTAGAATAGGTCTTCAGCAACCCATGCTTGCCGTAAAAGGCGACTAACGGAATCGGGTGGTCACCCTCGCTGACTAGGTTGATGCATGTCATCGATCCCAAATGCGTGGATCGATGCTTATGATGTCAATCACCGAATTGTCTGGTCCAGACTCGATTAGTTACCGACCGCAGTCATATAGCTGGAATATTGCTGAGTGCAGCATTAAACAACAAACAAATATAACCGCATCATCTACCACAATGAACATCTTGAGTACCTTGTTGTCTGTGTCACGACAGCCAAATCCTTGTCACCGCTGACCGCCTCCGTGGTCTAATGGTAGAGCGTCCGCCCGGAGAGCGGAATGTCCGGGGTTCGATCCCCGACCGCGTCATACCAAAAGACGTTAAAAGAATGTACTTGTTGTTACCCTGTCTGGCGCTCGGCATTAAGGGGCTAAAACAAGGACTGGTCGGCTCGGAGTCAGTATACTGTGTCTGAGTGGGGTATTCATGTTAAACTGCGGCATGGTATCTCAGTGAACTAGCACTATAAATCGGCATCAGTCCGGACTAGTACAAGCAGCCACACACACACATACACGTGCATGCACGTCGCTATATAAGTGCAATCCCAATTTCACCTCACCTCACCTCACCTCACCTCACCTAAAAAGTGTCATGTGTGCATAACCGATTGCACTTAAATGAATATTGTTTCTTTCACCAAACTGTCTTCAACATTATTAAAATATGCAATGGGTCCTCTATATACTACGGATGTATACATACTTGGTATACATTGTAGGATGGTGTGCCATTTGATTCTGAAATATTCACTTTGGGTGTGGTGTTCACAAATTTCTAAAACATGTCGCCCAAACGCCAACTTAAGCGTTCACACATAGAAACTATGGAAAACGAACAGGCTGTACAAATTTGTCATGTGGTTTTGCAATTGTGAACGAACATATCTATGCCACGAATCGACTCTGCAACACGCAATATCGCCATAGGCCGACTTCAAGCAGTAGGGTCTCTGACACCAGTTGCTCGCCGTCTAAATGTCAACCAAAAATTATAATTTCACGTCTCGTTGTTCGATTTCAACATTCTGGGTCAACCACTGACCGTCCACCTTCCGGCTGATCACGTGACAGTAGACACGCCCACGATCGGTACATCCGGGTGATCGGACCGTCACGGCTCATCACACAGCTACCAACGTGCCAGGGCCTAGATTTTCGAAACGATCTTAGCTAAGATAAATCTTAACAACTTACGTTCAAAGATAAGATATCTTAAGGTTAAGATAAGATAGATTTTCGAAACTATCGTAAACCTGTCGCAGATCGTTCAGAGTTACGATACCTATCGTAACTCTGACAAGGAACTCATTTGTGTTAGAGATTGAAAAAGCGAGGTGTTTCCCAATGACGTCACGGGGATTTCCCAGCTGCTGACAATAACACCATAGATAAGTGACACGGAATTCATGATCACATTGTCAGGTCACATTGTTTAACATGCACATATTTGAGTGAAATTCTGTACAATCCTACATATGTCCTACATGTAGACGTATTGTTCTTATGATAAAAGATGCCATGACTAACCGAACACAAGAAGCATTCGTGTGCCATGCAATAGCATTTTTTAAAGCCAAAAAATGTTATAATCAATAAGTATATAGTACCACACTTTAGCTATTAGAATGGAAATAATGTGCCAAAAGATACTTCACAATTTTCCCTTCAAATGGTCCTCTCGTGACCGCACTGAACTTTATGATACAAACACATCGCGTACAAAGTCAAGGACGAAAGTAAGGGACGTTATTCTAAATGACAATGACGAGACCTTTGATCGAACAGCATATGCGTTCAGCATTTAACATACGCGTTCAAGTCTGATGTTAAGTGATGTATACTGTATATGTTTGTGTTTATGTCAAAAGTCAAGTTTATATTAGTGTAAACACCAACATTATACGTGGAAACACTCAAAACAAAAATTGTTCAGGAAGCTGCGCACCCACAAGCAAGATTTTATGACAATCTAAGCTTGTTAAGTTTGTTTTGTTATTTATGTATCCAATATATTTCACGAATTAACCAAGGACTTAAATACAATATCAAGCTATAAGTATTTAGATGATGAAATTATTTTTTATCTATATAGATCCATAATTCTTTTCAAAATTTATAAGTGACACTAATTTTCATTCGCAAAGAGAGATAATTTCGGAATTGTCAAGTTATGTTGTCTCATGGAACACGCTACAAGTTGACGTAAACATACATATAATGAAGTCATTTTCTATCCTTTTAAATTAAGTAGAGCTAATAAACTGATTTGTCTGATTTCATTTAAATCTGACTAAGGAGCGAAATACTTTGTAATGTGTCAAATCTATTCCAGAACGTAGTTCAATGATGTTTGATTTGTCTGACAGCATTGCTGAGGATCATTTACTAGTATTTGTCCGTTGACCCTAAACGTGACAACGATTTTATTGTTTGAATGGTCTCAAGTATATCTATATATTTTTTAAACATAAAACGGGAAGATGTAGACTTAAATATTAAAAGCACCAAAATATTTTAAAACCGGTTTATTGAATGCAAAGATTATTGTGTTGAAAATGTGTATTTTATATTGATCAGTATATTTCATTCAATAAACTTTTTTTTCTGCGAACATATATTGGAATTTGCAAACTATGCTACATTTTGACGAGAACCAGAACGAGCATGGGAACCCATTTTATATTTGATTTGTCGATACGAAAATCTGTGCTTAACTTTTACTGTCAAAATTTCAGTAAATTGTTATATTTACTTGAATACATCTATATGCCGTTAATCAATGTTTTTAAAGAATGCAATTGTTCAACAAACAGTTTTTAATCAT